GTACCTGGCACATGGGAGGGAGAGAGTTCTTCTTCTTCCTCTTCTCAGTCCACCATCTCCCTCTCACCCTCTCGCTACCTGACTTCACTGCATCAGCAGACTATGAGAGAGCGGGCTTGGTGACATTCGGATCCAGACTCGACATTGGGCTTCAGACATTTTGACGAGGGCTTATTCGGGACTTGTAACAAAGACTTAGTGTTGACGACATTCCCATCTCTCCCCCTCTTCTTCGTCTGTTCCCCTCCTCTTCATCTGTGCATGATCTGGACCTGGGGCATTCTTCCTGTGTGTAGCGCCAGGCCCCTTCACACCTTGTGATGAGGATTATGTATGTTTGGTCTGCGTTGCAGCATTGATTGGGCTAGTCATTGGTATTCTAGCATTCTGCTGCGCTGTCTTGCACTACGTGGTAGAGGTCAGTCCCAGTCAGGTCAGGACTTGTACCTAAGTCTTCCGCTGCGCCACAAGGCGCCATTTTGTATGTATCAGGATGTACATTGTTTGTTCAGATTCCGCAAGCACTGCATTGTCCATTCAGTCCTTTTTATCACATTGCGGATCCTTGGCTATTTACATATATCGCCCAACTGCGCATGTAACAGTTGGTATCGAACCACCGCACGTGAATCAGGACAACCTGATCTGACACGTGTGCGGGGACTAAGTAGCTGATTAGTCTTGATTGATTGATTAGAGCACACTAGTTAGCCCCCAAAATCACGATTTTGACCTCACTGCCGAAAGTCGAAATTTTTTTTTTCCTTTTCTTGGATTTTGTTTTCCCGCTATTTCTGTTGTGGAAATTCGCAATAGCGCAACACCTGAAATTTCCGTTTTCATTTTTCTCCTGAAAATTTGAAATTTAGTTGTTGGAAATCCGGAATATTTTTTTTTCAAAAAATTCGGTTTCCTTTTGCAATTTCCCGTTATTTGGAAATCCGGAATACTATTTTTCTGTCATTTCCGAAATTCGTTTTTTTTAGATTCGAAAACGGTACGGGAAATCCCTCTTGCAGTTATCATTTTCCAAACTGCACGTACTCTCATCTAAGTAATTCCGAATATTTTTACGTGATTTTATTTTCGGAATTCTCTTATCGGATCATCATATGCAATCTGAAAGTTTGAAATTTTCCGCGCTCGTAATTTCGCACTTCAGGGGGAAATGGGAGGCCTACTGAACTTGCAAACGAGTATTTTTTTTCTTTTTTCTCAAAATTTTGGGAAGTTCAAACTTTTCTTTTTTGATTAGTGGCTTCTGATCTGGGCGATTTATCCCACTCACCCCTCCCCACCTATGTTGTTGCCCCTTCTGGTCTTATCTTCTCTATCGGTCTCTGGGTAACCCCTACGGCGGCATTGGTAAGTTGCCACGACGGCAGACCTCGTCAGCAGGCCACATCAGCAGGCCACGTCAGCAGACCACGTCAGCAGGCCACGCCAGCAGGCCACGTCAACAGGCCATGTCAGCAGACCACGTCAGCAGGCCACATCAGCAGACCACGTCAGCAGGCCACGTCAGCAGCAGGGAGTGCCATGTCAGCAGGCCCCCGGCCTAGTCTGTGCTCACGCGCTCGCAAACAGCCGTCATGGACCAGAAATCCGGGGAAACGGACGAGGCCTATCAGGCCCCGATGCTTCTGATTACCGAAGCCAAGCAACTGTCGAATGCAGTAGCAGCCACAGCAAAGAAGAAACCAGAGGACGCCGAGAAGGCCGTCCGTTGGCAATCGAACAGCAGCGCCAGCAAGACGAGGCAGCAGCAAAGGCTGCCGATGAAGAACGAATTCAACAACGCGAGAAGATATTCAGTGGAGAGCGAGCTTTGCTCACAATGGCAGCGGACTGACGGTCCGAGGCCGAGAATGATAAGATGGAAGAGAGTGAAAACAAGATCGCTCTACTCTTCTCCCATCTCACGGATCTCATGGCAACATGCATTACATAGCGAGAGGACATCCACAGCCTCGATGACGCGTTGTCTCAAGTCCACAGCCACCTCCACCAGCTGGCGCAGCGACCCGTCGCCGCCCCCGATGCCAGCCCTTCCAACACCTCCGATCACCTCCGGGCATTGGAGATTGACGTGGGATCCCTCAAGGACGGTGTGCAGTTACAGCAAACCGCAACGCAACAGTTGGAGCAGCGGATCTGTACTGCCGCCAACCACTCGAGCTTGAAACCGCGCAAGACAACTCCAAAGTTCGATGGGCAGGAGATCTTCTGCGACTCGACCAAGACGGACCCGATTCCATGGTTCTGCAAGTTCGAGCTCAAGTTGCAGCTCCACCACGTCACCGAACACAAGCATCACGCGTACTTATACTCCCGGTCGGGGCGCGAATGCCAAGCATGGTTGGACAATCTCTTGTCCAAGTACGGAGTGGTGGCTGCCGACTTGCACACCAAGATCAGCTGGGATGATAAAGGCGGCGTGGCATAAGCGGTTCCAAGTAGAGCCGCCGCAGATCAAGGCAATGGACAAGCTGATGACCTTCGAACAAGGCACACTGTCGAGTGTTGACTGGATTGTCAAATACCAACGCTTGACATCCGTCCCACACATTCAAATGGGCTTCAAGGCCGTCAAACACTACTTCCTCGAGGTCGTGAACGACGTTGGACAATGCCTTGGCTCACGTTGAGGACACCCTGACGACAACGGCAGAGCCTTCGACAAGGCCGCGCAGATTATTGTCACGAACAAGGAGGCTAAGAACCTCCACCGTTCGCCTGCGACAGGCCCGAGCAGGGATCAGCATCGGCCGAAAGTGGTCGTGGTCGTGGCAGCAACGCCAAACGACCAACCTAGCGAGGCCATGTCTGCCAATGAAGGTGACAAACTCGCAGCCGCCCGGGATGGTGGCCGCCCCGGGAAAGGCCGAGGACGCGGCAAGGCGAAGACAAAGACTGCATCTAGCCTCGGGCCCGGCGCAGCAGCTCCAGCCCCATGGTCCCACTACGGTCTCTCCAAGCAAGCATACAAGGCACGCACGAGATTCCGCTATTGTATGTGGTGTAACAGCGATCTCCACGACACAATGGACTGCCCGTCGAAAGGCAAGGGCAAATCGGGGAACTGAGCACCGCCGGGAGGGACTCGACGACACTCTCGACGCCTTCGGAACCGGTCGCTTCGCGGATGACTGCCCTTCGTTCTGAGGCACATGCGGAAGCCGATAGTCCTCCTCTTTTATTTTCTTACGAGGACTATGTTGCCCGGCTCGTTCCTACGCTGGGTACTCATGCTCAAGGACAAGATGTGTGTGTGCATCTTCTCCGTCCGACAGCGGCAAACTTATCGGCTTCAAGTGGTTCTTCACCGGATTCGGCGCTCGAGTTCAACATAGAGGTATTGGACCCGCTCTCGTCCGAGGATTTCGCATGGCTTGCCGAAACCGCAATGCGCAGCAATATGCGCTCATCTTCACACGTACTTATCCTTCTATGCACCACCAACTTCGTCGACGGATGACGAAATCGCAGTGGAGGACATCCTTGCGTATGCTACCAAGGTGGCCCGCGAGTTTCACAAGCAGCAGTACGATAACAACAACGTACCGTTCCTCTATGTCCGCATCCAAGTTGGGCAAGCGCCCTGCAGCGCTTTGCTGGCTAGCGGCGTGTCTCGCAACTTCATGAGCCAAGCCTTTATGCAAAGGGCTGGCCTTGGCACACAAGTTCGAAGGAAGGCAAACCCGACGGCAATCACGTTGGCGGACGGAAGGATGCAGCAACTTATCGATTGCTACATCGAGGCCGTACCGGTGTATTTTGCACCTCATGCAGGCGAACCGGTGACGTTCGACAATTTGGACACGGACTTCGACATTATTTTGGGAATGCCTTGGCTTGCAAATGTGGATCACACGGTCAACTTCCACCGGCGGACTCTTACCGTTCGGGACGCTTTCGGCGCCGAAGTGTCGTGCACTATTCCTCTTCCGCACCCTTCGATTCGGTGACAAGTGGTGACGACCAAGTCATTCCGGGCTACCTGTGCTTACGAGCAGACCGACGAAATTGGCCTATGTTTCCTACGGACCATCGTCGTAGCCGACTCTTCACCCACAGACTTGTCTTCGGACCCTCGTGTGGTGCGGTTGCTTGACGAGTTCGCCGACATCTTCGAGTCACCTACCGGTGTGGTGCCCGATCGGCCAATCTCTCACGAGATCATTCTTGAGGCCGGTGTGGTGCCGCCGAAAGGTTGCATTTACCGCATGTGCGAGGAGGAGCTTACGGCCCTCCGCGCACAACTCGATGACTTGTTGGACAAGGGTTGGATATGCCCTAGTAGCTCCCCATACGGAGCACCAGTTCTCTTCGTACAAAAGAAGAACAAAGATCTATGACTGTGCATCGACTACTGCAAGCTCAACGCGCAAACTGTCAAGAATGAGGGGCCTCTTCCTCGTATCGACGATCTTCTTGAGCGATTGGGCGGCGCAAAGTACTTCTCTAAGTTGGATTCGAAGTCGGGATCCCACCAGATTCGATCCGGCCGAACGATCGCTATAAATCCGCGTTCAAGACGCGGTATGGGTATTTTGAGTGGGTGGTCATGCCTTTTGGCCTCACCAACACCCCGGCGACCTTTCAAGCGGCAATGACCAACGGGTTCCGTGCAATGTTGGACCGGTTCGTGCTGGTCTACTTAGACGACATTCTCGTCTATAATCGGTCATTCGAGGATCATCTTGAGCACCTTCGACGAGTGTTGGAGACGCTCCGCCGCGCCAAGTACAAAGTCAACCGCGACAAGTGCGAATTTGTCCGGCAAGAGCTGGAATACTTGGGCCATTTTGTCACACCGGAGGGCATCAGTCCGCAATCGTACAAGATTCAAGCCATCCAAGAGTGGCCGGAGTCGTGGAACATTACGGATGTCCGTTCGTTCCTTTGCCTTGTCCGTTACTACCAAAGTCTTATCAAGGGATACTCGAAGATCGCGGCCCACTTGACCAACCTTCAATGCGAGGACCGGCCTTTGACTTCGGAGAGGATGCACGGGAATCATTTTTGGCTCTCAAAGCCGCGCTATTATCTGCGGAGGTCTTGCGAATCTACGAGACCCGCTATTGCCAACACGCGTCACTGCGAATGCGTCCGGCTATGGCATTGGTGCCGTCCTCGAACAACACGATGGCGTGGACTGGCACCCGGTCGAGTACTTCAGCAAAGAAGTGTCCATCATGCACTCCATTGATGATGCACGCAAGAAGGAGCTCCTAGCCTTCGTCCACTCGCTCAAGCGGTGGTGGCACTTCCTCCTTGGTCGAAGTCAATTCCGATGGGTAACGGACAACAATCCGTTGGTCTTCTACAAGACCCAACACACCGTCAATAGCACCATCGCCCAATGGATGGCTTTCATCGACCAGTTCGACTTCTTTCTCGATCACATTCCCAGGAAGTCTAACCGTTTTGCGGATGCTCTTTCACGACGTCCAGATCATTGTATCGCAGTCTATTCAACCTTCGAGATCTGCGACGACCTGCGGGACAGCTTCATCCGCGGCTACCAAGCCGACCCCGAGTTTCGAGACAAGTACGCGAATTGTTCCTCTCCTAATCCGGCGACTTCTCACTACCGGATCCAAGAGGGGTACTTGCTTGTCCACACGCAAGGGAAGGACCTTCTTTGCATACCAAGTGACTCTCACTTGCGTACACGGCTTCTTGGCGAGTTCCACGATGCTCCAACCACCGGACACTTTGGAGTCAATCGCACGATTGGCCGACTTCGTGAGCGATTTTGGTGGCCCAGCCTTTTCGACGACGTCACACACTATTACGAGTCATGCGAAGTGTGCCGACGCCGCAAATCCCACAACCACCGTCCGTACGGCGAGTTGCGACCATTACTGGTCCCCTTGCGCCAAAGGGAAGTGATTGCCATGGACATTATCGGACAGTTCCCCAAGCACAAGACCGGTGTGGATGGGATTCTCACGGTGGTCGACCGACTCACCAAGTTCGCCATGTTTTTGCTTTGCCGCTATCAAGCCAAGGCACTGGAGTTGGCCGAGGTTCTTTACGCCGGTTGGATTTGAACCAAGGGTTACCCCAAGGAAATCGTATGCGATTGCGACACTTGATTCATGTTCGATTTTTGGTTGCCGCTCATCAAACAATGGGGCTCATCTCTCAAGCCAAATTCGGCTCGCCACCCCCAAACCGATGGCCAAACGAAGAGGGCGCATCAGACCCCATAGTTTCTCCTTCGCACTCCCATCCGTCCCGGCCAAAAGGATTGGGTTAAGCGGCTGCCAAATGTTGAGTTGGCATACAACTCATCCATCCACCCGGCTATCAGGATGTCGCCCTTCGAGTTCGAGCACGGCTCGGTGGTCACGTCTCCGTTGGACACAATCATTCCACGAACGGCCGAGAGCGACGACCATCTTCTTTTCTTGCGTCGGATGCAAGAGCTACTTGTCAAGGCACGCGACCAGATGGCTAAGACGCAGCAACGCATGAGCCAACAGACCAATCGCCAGCGTCTTCCTTGCCCATTCCGTGACGGGGATCTCGTTTGGGTTTCCGCTGCAGAATTCAGCCTTGAACAAGATATCTCTCGCAAGCTCCTCCCGAAATGGATGGGGCCCTGGCCGATCGTGGCACCCGCTGGGGATGCACCCAAAGGACCTTCTTTCACCATTCAGGTGCCCGCCCACTTGCCCATCTACCCGGTCTTTCATTGCTCCAAGTTGGCTCTTTACACGCCAGCGAAACATAACGATTTTCCCAGGCGACGATCGCAAGACCCACCATCTATGGACAGTTTTCAGGAGTTCAGCGACAACATCTCCCAGGGACGCTATGGCAACAAGCCAACCCAGTACTTAGTACACTATGCGTACTGCACTCACAAAGCTGACCGTCGGTTGACCCGTGCAGAACTCCACGCAACAGCTATGGATTTTCTCGCACGCAAGGCAAGCCGGTATCTTCGGCTCAACGTCGCACCCGCGTCCAGGTTCCACCTTCAGATCGTCAGCTTCGCCCTCAACCCGGTTTGGCTTTGTAAGGAGAGGGGGCTATTACATGCTGTGCCTGCAACAGGCTGCACGGGCCATTTTCAGGTCCGTGTCGTTTCCAGCCCGAAAGCCTGAAAACAAGGGCCTACAGGCCCTGTGTCATTTCAGCCTGAAAGCCTGAAAACAAGGGCCTACAGGCCCTGTGTCGTTTCAGCCTAAATCAGGGCCTTTCCGGCCCTGAGTCTTTTCAGCCTGAAACTGAGGGCCATTTTCAGGCCCTCATAAGATCGACCTGCCCTGAAACTCAGGCACCAGACCAGGGTTTTAGCACAGACCATTTTGGGCCTGTTTTCAAGACAACCACTGGTTGAGCTTCAATGCCAGGGTCTGGCACGTTTCGGCATTGACAAGAGCAGCCTCCTGGACGGGCCAGCACTATATAGGACTGGCCCGCCCTGCAGGCAGGCAGGTAGTTCCTAGGTACTTCCCAGGCACTTCACGTGCAGTTCAGGAGGCAGGAG